AAAAAAAAAAACTTCTATTATACTGTATATTATATAATTATGCATGAAAACTTACAGATTATCTTCTCTTTTAGATTAAACATCCTACTGCCCTAGGTTTAGAAGTTGGTCAAGAAATTCAGGTACTTATATTCAAACTTTTGGCCTTAAAGTTGTAAATTGTACTTGATGTTTCAAATACTTGTTTCAAAAAGTAAGCTGAAGAAATTGAATTAAAACCTGTGGTTTTCATTTATATGCAACCTTAGTGTTTGATTACTCATTCTGGATTATAGACCCAGTTTTCTCCTTTCAAGGTACTTATAGTTTAGTTAGAAAAATCTAGAATATTTTAAAAATGCATGGGGAGGTCAGTGATATCTATGCTGAGTCAATGATTTAGAGACAGAAGGTGAGCATACTAATAATGTAACTTTGTTAAAGACCTTGAATATTTGAAGAGTTGAGACTTTAGTTTCTTCTCTGTTTCTTGAGGCTGAATGTTTTTGAGCTTGATGAAATCTATATTCAGTTCTAGAATTCTGATAAAAACAAGTGACTTTTTCTATACTCATAGATGAAAGAAGTCATTGCTATAAGGTTTTTTGACTGTACCACATTCTTTTAAAATTATACCTAACTGTCATGCCTGACTAAGGAAGGCTTCTAGTTTAATGAGAATCTAACAATCCCATTGGTCATATAACCTCTAGGAAAAGATAAGAACTAAAACTTCCCTGTATAAGATTGTTTTTGTTTTACATAAGAAGGAATTTAAAAATCACTAACCCTCTTGGCTTGCACTGGCTATGATCAAGCTAAATAACCTCCAATGTGATGATTCTTTGAGTTGTCTATAATTTTGTATAGTTTAATAACAAAATTAGGTTCAGGCAGTACTTATCTAAAATTATTCACCAGGGCTTTCACTGTTCTTCCAAGATAGAGACCTGTCCTGGAGAGAAATCAGATCGGCACAGGTCATTCTAACAGATTTTAATTGGGCACCTAACTGCCCATGACTTATTTTTTAGTAATCACTACTTAACTAAATTATATTCATTGACATACACCTCCACTTAATAGTGAGTTATGCTTTCAATGAACAAGTAGAAACACTTCCTTTTTTGGACCATGTAAATTTAAATATGTTCTTAGTTGTATATCAATCATTGTACTGTAACTAAGTTTCTTTAACAAAGGTGAAATACTTTGGACGGGATCCTGCTGATGGAAGAATGAGACTTTCTCGCAAAGTGCTCCAGTCTCCAGCTACAACTGTTGTCAAAACCCTAAATGACAGAAGCAGTATTGTTATGGGAGAATCCATTTCACAATCATCATCTAATTCTTCCCCATGAATTTTTTAAAAAGAATTCTAGTGCTGTTCCATAGAGCAAAATTCTAGTAGTGTCTTCTAATGTGCAAATTTATATATAGTATAAATATATTCTAATTATTTGTATTAAATGCTTATTTTACATGTGCCATGTTTTATTTCAAGTAACTTATTTATATAATAAATTAATATTATTAAAAGTAAGCCAAAGTGTAGAAATAGATCACCTTTGCTGCTACGATAATGGGATCTTCCTACATATCTTATTTTCTTCTTTATATGTAATAGTAACACTTTACTCTCCATGAGCTCAAGCTTTACTTGCCTACAACTATTTCACAACTGGAACATGCTGTATTCAAAGCCAGAGACTATTTCTTCACTACCAGCTTTAATAAGGAATTGAGGGGCTAATTTGATTTGTTTGTTTTAAAGATCTAATTATTTACTTATGCATACAGAACTGAGGTACAGTCCAGAGGTGCAGGGGCAGTGAGAGGATTCACCAGAGACAAAGTGGGAAGCAGAACAGGTGATTGATTAAAATACACTGCTGAGGGGAGCAGTGGGCAGGACAGAAGTGTGCCATGCCATGTGAGTCACCCTGGGGATACCCTGGTTGGGAATGAAATTCATGCTGCAGTAGCTTAACAGTGCTGTGCTTTATCCTGTTGTGCCACCGAAGAGGGCCCTAATTTGTTTTTAAGATATATATTCCACCTTTCAGATTGGTCAAAAACCATAAAAGAAGTCATAAGTAAAATAAACATGTAAATGGGATCCTAACAAGAATGAAGCAGGACATTATTCAAAATTTAGAAAATACTTTTAAAATGTGAAAAAATCATTTTCTCATCAAATAGTTTTGGGTCATTGGTTTTTTGAAGATTTATTTATTTATGCATACAGAACTTGGGTACAAGCCAGAGGCCCAGGGGCAGTGAGAAGATACACCAGAGGCAGAGCAGGGAGCAAAACAAACAGATCTACGCAGTGGACAGGTCAAGAGAGGTCTGCTGCGACATGTGGGTCACCTCCGGGCAAGGGATCAAACTGGCCGTGAAGTGGCTGCCCCAAGATTCAAGATACTGTGCTTTCACCCATTAATACACCAGGGAGGGCCCAATAAATAAATATTTTCAAAAAAAAAAATATTAGACAAAATATGGCCTGTTTAAGGTAACATTTTGATAGCATTGAGTCACACAATATAATTACTTGCAAGGAGAAGGTAGACGTCTAGATCGTATGGTAAGTTCTTTTTTTTATTTTTTATAATATAATAATTTATTTTTGTATCATTTTGTTTTTTTTTGTTTTTTTTCATCTCAATTGTAATGCCGGGTGTTTCCCATCACCAAGTTACCAGGTGCCATCACCATAGGTCCTGCCCCCAGTGTTTTTGATCCCACTCCCCACTCCATCCCCCAAAAATGTCTCTGGCATATGGCTGTTCATTGTTATTATTTTCTCGCCTGGTCCATTATACTCCTCCTATGAGCTAAACCATCCGGTATTTTTCTTTTTCTTTCTGGCTTATCTCACTAAGCATGATCTTTTCCAGCTCCATCCATGTTGCTGCAAAAGACATGTGTTTCTCGTTTTTGGTTGCTTAGTAATATTCCAGTGTGCATATGTACCACATCTTTCTAATCCAGTCATCTACTTTTGGGCATTTGGGCTGGTTCCATGTTTTTCCAATTGTAAATTAAGCAGCAATAAACATGGGGTGCAGGTATCTTTTTCAATCAGTGTTTTTGTGTCTTTTGGTTAGATACCTAGGAGAGGGATTGCTGGATCATCTGGAAGCTCCATGTTAAGCAGTTTGAGAACCTCCAAACAGTTTTCCATAGTGGTTGTACTAGTTTGCATTCCCACCAGCAGTGCAGGAGAGTTCCTTTTTCTCCTCATCCTCGCCAACATTTGTTGTTTTTAGTTGTTTAAAGATGTGCCATTCTCACTGGTGTGAGGTAGTATCTCATTGTGGTTTTAATTTGCATGTCCCTTCTTACAAGTGATGTTGAACAGTTTTTCATATGTTTGTTGGTTATCTGCATTTTCTCTTTGGAGAAGTGTCTTTTTAGCTCTTCTGCCCATTTTTTGATGGGGTTGTTTATTTTTGTTGACTTTTATCAGTTCTCCGTATAGTTTTGTGATCAATCATTTATCACTAGTTTTGTGTGAGAAAATTTTTTCCCAATTAGTGGGATGTCTGTTTTTCATAATGTCTCTTTTGCTGTACAGAAGCTCTTTAACTTGATGTAGTCCCATCTATTTATCCTTGCCTTCACTATTGTTGCATTGGGTGCTCTATCTTTAAAGATGTCGCTGAAGTGTATGTCGTGTAGTGTTTGGCCCATCTTTGCTTCCAGGTATTTTATGGTTTCCATTCTTACTTCTAGATCTTTAATTCACTTTGAGTTGATTTTTGTGTATGGAGTGAAATAGTGATCTAGTTTCATTTTTTTACATGTAGCGTCACAGTTTTCTCAGCACCATTTGCTGAACAAACTTTCTTTGTTCCATTGTATCTTCTTTGCTCCTTTGTCAAAAATTAGCTGTCCATAAACCTGTGGGTTTATATCTGGGTTTTCTATCCGAATCCACTGGTCTGTAAGTCTACTCATGGTCCAGTACCATGCAGTTTTGATTATTATGGCTTTGTAGTATAGCTTTAAGTTTGGGATTGTAATGCCTCCATTTTGTTTTTTCCTAGACATGAGGGTTTTGGCTATTCAAGATCTTTTGTTGTTCCATAAGAATCTCATCAACATTTTTTCTATTTCTTTGAAGAATGTTTTTATTGGGATGGCATTAAATCTGTATGTTGCTTTTCGCAGGATGGCCATTTTAATGATGTTAATTCTCCCAATCCATGAGCAGGGGATGTCTTTCCATTTCATGGTGTCTTCTTGTATTTCTTTTAACAGTGTTTTATAATTTTCTTTGTAAAGGTCTTTTACCCCTTTGTTAGGTTGACTCCCAGGTATTTGATTCTTTTTGTTTTAATTGAAAAGGGGATGGGTTTTTTTATTTCTGCTTCTTCTGATTGTTTGTGTATAGGAAAGCCTCTGATTTTTGTGTGTTGCTTTTATATCCTGCTACCTTGCTAAACTGGTTGATGGGTTTTGATTAGTTTCTCTGTGGAGTTTTTAGGGCTTTCCATGTAGATTATATCTGCAAATAAGGACAGTTTTATTTCTTCTTTCCCTATTTGGGTTCTTTGTATGTCTTTTTTCCTGTCTTAATGCTCTGGCTAAAACTTCCACTCACCAAGCTGCGTTGTGTCAGTTTATATCCAGGGTTTTATGGGGGTTGCTGGGCAAAGAATGGCAACACAGCTGTGGTGTATCCTCGCATCTGGGCACTCCTGGTTCTTTTCCCACAATTTGGTTTCCTCGCCCTAGCTGAGTTGTCTCAGTTTATCTCCAGGGCTGTAGCAGGGCTGGGGCAAAAAGCCGCTGCCACAGCGCAGCTGCTGCTGCCACCACCCTAAGTCTCCCTCTGTAGCACTTCCTGGAGTCTGGGTGCCAAGATTTTTAAAGGAGCAGAATGAGCAGGAAGCCTCCATCTATGGCACTAGACTGGCACTTCCCCGATCAGAGATGCAGGGTTCTGCTTATCCTGTCAATGGCACCTCCAGATAATAGTTCTCTTATGCGAACTACCCAATCGCCAATTCTCCCTCAGTTATCTTCCTTCTAGTGTGTCTAGGGTGTTTTCATTTGGGTTGAAATTCATAGCATGTAAGTCTATAGTCCATTTTTATATATTCCCTTGCAAGCTTGGACGGTCATCTCAGCGTCTTTACTCTGCCACCATCTTGTTCGTTCAGGCGCAGGTCGAGCTTGTCTGTCAGTGGCTTTGTGCAGTGCCCAGGTACTCCGTATCAGATCTTCAGTCTTTCCTCAGCCTGGGCCCCACTCACCGAGCTGACCCATCCCTTCAACTCCAGGGCTTTAGTATGGGGCAAAGTGTCTCCTCTCATATGGTAAGTTCTAACAGGACTTTACATAATTTCAGGCCAATGAAAATTAAGACTAAACTGTAGTCAGAGAAGATAGTACAGAGACACTGTGACATCAAGGAACAAAACCAACCTAGGTTTAGTTAAAGAAAAGGAAATTTGGGTCCTCCTTCATGGTACAACAGGTTAAAAGCACAGCACTATGAAGCTGTCCGCACCACTACAGCACGAGTTCTATCTGGGCCAGGGAGGTGACCCACATAGCATGGCAGACTTATCCTGACCCACCCACTGCTCCCCTCAGCAGTGTACTTGGTCAGACTGCCTGTTCTGCTCTCCAGTCTGTCTCTGGTGCATTTTCTTATGGCCCCTGTACCTCTGGTCTGTACCCCAGTTCTATATGCATAAATAAATAAACCTTTAAAAAAAAACAGAAAAGGGAAATTTGGCACAGAGCCATGGATTTATTTCATGAGAAAATCATACTACTGGTAGTGGACTGGAACCAGGAATATAAGGTCATAAGGAGCTAAGGCAGTCCTCTCTATTTACCATTGGAATCACATGACATCTCATTTGTGCTGCTTTCCATAAAACAGTTTAATTATTATTGTCCGATAACACGATGTGAAATGCAATTGGAATTTCAAGTAAACATGTTTAGTGTAAGAATATGGCTCGTGCAATATTTGAGTTATACCTACAACAAACCACAATGATAAAGGAACAGGACTCATGGAGCAGGCTGTAGGATGCAGGATGCTGCTGGAAAGCAGTGGCCTTTTTTTTTTTTTTTTAATTTATTTATACAGAACTGGGGTACAGGCCAGAGATGTGGAGGGTGAGAGGATTCACCAGGAACAGAGTGGGGAGCAGAACAGGAGATCGACGAAGTACACTGCTGAGGGGAGCAGTGGGCAGTCAGGAGAGGTCTGCCACGCCATGTGGATCTCCTCCCGGGCAGGCGGGGATCAAACTCATGCGGAAGTGGCTTAAGCTTCTTAGTGCAGTGCTTTAACCCGCTGCGCCACCAGGGAAGGCCCAAGCTTGGCCTTTTTATTGACATAGAAGGGTCAAACTAAACACTGGATTTTGGCCTTGGGGAGGGGGGTGAGTCCATGATAGGTACTGTTCCCATCCATGACTCCAATTTTATTAC